CATCGAGCTAGGATCAGAAATCGAAATTTGAGACTGCGGGAGTGACTGGAAACTGAAATGTTTCTTTCCTGTAAAGGAAGGACCCACAGAGAGAGGAGCCACAATCCGCATACGAGTCTCCTGACTCTTGAATTAAGAGTCTTGGCTGACTCTTAAATATTCATACAAATACTCATGAGTAGGAAGAAGCACTAAGGAACTTGCTGAAAAGCTAAGTAGGCAAAAAGCTAGGTAGGTAGAAAGCTAGAAAATTGCCGACGAAGATCTCAACTGCAGCGGGGTGCTCGTAAGAGAAAAAGTAGAATGCAAATCCTACTAAGTTAAAGTGGCTTTGTAAACACTACAGGCATTTCATTAAAAAACAAAGAAGATATGGGGCACCTGGATGGCTCAGTCAGTTAAGCGTCTGACTTTGGCTCAGGTCAAGATCTTGGGGGCCTGGGATTGAGCCCCCCTCACAATCCAGCCCTGGCGGCGGGGAGCCCCACCTTGAGCCCTACCTCAGGCTCCATGCTCAGCAGGGAGTCTGCTTCTCCTTCTCTCTTTCTCCCTCTGCCCCTCCCTCTGCTTCTGCTCTCTTTGTTTCTCTCTCAAATAAATAAACAAAAATCTTTTTTAAAAAAAGGATAGTTCTTGCCCTTAGATTAAAGGCCACCAATTAAAGACCACCAAGGATAATGAATATGCCCCAGGACTAAAGACCCTACTAAAAGTCTCAGGTCCTATCAAAGCCTCCAAAAATGCAGGATAATTAGCTAATTATTTCACTGCCTCCTACAATAAAAATAAGAAAATGTCGGAGGAATATAACAGAATCTAAAATCCTTACAACAAATGTGCCATGGAGATGGGCATATAATAATAATAATAATTTACTAGACATATAGAGAAGAAGGAAAATGTGATCCATAACAAGAAAAATAAGTCAATTGAAGTAGACTTGTACATGACTCAGATGTTGGAATTAACAGATGAGAATTTTAAAATACTTATTAAGATTAAGACTTAAAGGAAAAGACAGCTATTATGAGTGACAGATACTTTCAGCAGAGAAGCAAAAACTATTTATAAATAAAAATGGAAATTCAAAAATTTAAGGCATAGTATCTGATGTGAGAAATCCACTGAATGGGCTTAAAAGTACATCAGAGAGAGCAGGTGAAAAGGTAGTTAAACCTGAAGATAAATTAATAGAAATTAACCAATCTAAATAAGAAAGTGAAATTTAGGAAATTAGAGAGCATTACTGTGATATGAATCAATATCAAATAGTCTAATAAACATGTATTTTGAGTCCAAAGAGAAGAGAGAGAGAAAGGTGTAGATACAATGTGTAAGGAAATAATGGCCAGATTTGTTTGTTTGTTTCAAAATTGGACCTAAAATATACTATCTGTGAACTCTAAGCAATGAAGCAAAAAAAAAAAAAGAGAGAGAGGGAAATATATGGCATAAATAAAGGAAAGAAAGAAAGAAAACTATCTATTCAGACTACACAATTGTCCATAAGAAAGTCCTGGAGAATTTTTAAACAAATTATTTTATCAATTGTACAAACAAGTCTTCCTATTAAGCTATAATAATCAATAAAGTGAGGGATTGGTATAAGAGGAAACAAATCAATGGAAGAGAATAGAAGTCTAAAATTAGAGCCGATCACATACGGTCAATTTCTTTTCAACAAAGGACTCAGGTAATCTAATGGCTGAAAGAAAGTTTCTATTCTTAAGTGGTGCAATAGTAAATGGGTATTCATAAAAATAATAATCAAAGAGTTCTTAGAGAAAATACAAAAAACCCCACCTAAACTAACCATTAAAAAAAGATAAATTATACTTCAAAATCCAGTATTTTTTTCAAAAGTAATCAAAAAGAAAATGAGAAAGCATGCTACAGGATAGGGAACTATAATTGAAATACATATATCTGACAGTGATTTATATCCAGAACCTATAAGGAATTCCAAGTCACTTAGACAAACAACTCAATAAAAAATAAAAGCTTGAACAGGCAGTTTATTAAATCAAATGCATCAATACCCAATAAGTACATGGAATGCTGCACAACATCATCAGTGTTTTGTTATTATTTGGGAAGTATTACCACAAAGAGAGAGCTCCTTGCCCACATTAGAATGGGGAAAATTAACGTTAATATCTCATTCTAATTCTTCTCCCTAGTCATCCCAAATATCTCTCCCCTGGGAAAAGAGTTGGCTACCCATGTGTACTTCTAGAAACATTTCATGCATATGTGAACCTATAAAACATATAGTTGTTTTCCCTTTTTTAATATAAATATTAGCATACATTATACATTGTTAGTTTTTGGATATCTGTCCATATTAGTACAGAAAAAGATTGTTCATTTTGTTTGTAACTGCATCATATTCCATTTAGGGGCTTCAGTTTAGCACTATAAAAATCCTTCAAATCTTCAATACCAAAGAATCATTTCTCTTTTATATTTCTTTGCACAAGCATCAACAGATATGTACATGAACAATGATGGTAAATCAAAGGTAACAGATAATGAAAAGGTACTAGATAATGTTACTATGACAATCATACTGTGTGAATCAACTAATACCCAAATACCATCTAAAATATCAAAAAAAATGACAACATTCCACAACTCTTAACTTTAAAACATGTATTAAATAATAAGTTTTTCCACTTGTCTTTACTAAACTCAGAATAAAAGAGTGTCACTGACTATGTGTTGCAGACACTTTGTATGAATGAACAATAAACAAAAACGGAGGAAAAATTAAAGAACAGTACAGTTTATAGTAGAAGGTTTTGTAACTTTCAGAAAAGAGGAAAGGGATGGACACTATATCATTATAAGCTCTTTAGTTTGTTTTAGGATCTATTTTTTCTCTCACATACAATCTTTCAAAAGCATGTTGTTACTGTTTTGCTTTTTTTTTTTTTTTTTACTTTCTCTTACCCTAACCTGATTGATGACGTGAATGAACCCATCTTCACGCTGAAAAAATTAGTACCTCCTTAAGGCCAAATCTCCCTCAGAGTGAAAACGGATTTCATGGATGTCAGCAGCCGTGAAACAACTGAAAGAATCAAACCTGCATTCAGGACTATTCGGGGCTCCTTGGCCACCATTGTCATGTGTACCATGGCTGGCATAGTGTTTCTGTGAATGGAGTATGGTTTCTGTGTATTAAACTTTGAAAAACTAGGGCAAGCACACAATAATAATAATTTTTTTAAAAGTTAAGTCCTCTCCCCACTCCAGTTCTCGATTCCACTCACTCCCCTCTCCAGAAACAGCCACTGTTAAAAATCTCTTGGTTCTCTTTCCTGTATGATTCTGTTATTTTAAACAAGTGGTAGTATGCTGTCTATAATAATAAATGTAATTAAATGCACACCTGTAAAAAAAATCTTATAAATGTATTCACACCTAATAATGTAATTTAAAATTTCAAAAGCCAAACCTCAATTGCAGAAAGTGTGTTCTTGCTTCCTGTGCGGCTCAACTGCAGTAATTATACATGATACAGTACTTTCAAAAATATGAAGGACAACACAGGTGAAAGGTTGTAATGCGTTGCTTTTGAGTTTGGAAATGAAGCCACCTGGAGGTCCTGAGCTTAAAAGAGATGTCTCACCACTGGCTTTCCCCCACTGCCCCTCTACATACTGCGATGAAACTCAAGCTTACAGACCTCTCAGAGTGGCACAGGAAAAGGCGGAAGTAACTCAGGCACCATTGTTCTGACCCAACACATGGCTTGACCTGTAGCAGAGCTGCTATAAAAATGTAATTCTCCTTTAACCCCTCCATGTAAATCATCAGAAAGCTTTCCTCTACTGATTTAAACAAATTTGGTCTTTGACCTCTACAGTCAGAACTGGCCTCAACAGCTCTTTCAGATGGTTGTCCTATTGACTGATGTATGTCAACTGCCATAAAATGCAATGCTGTTTCATCACAGGTTTTCAAATAATGCCACATATGTCCAAAGTCATAGTAACAGTCTCTTTATTCCAAGTAGAGTGGTAGCATGAAATACTGCAGATTAATGAAATAATGCAAGCACTTTGTTGTATCAAGCTTTGGTATCGAATGCAGCTGTGATTTGCGGTATTGTTCAACCAGCTGCAACACCTGTCAACATGTTTCTTACGGAACTTCAAAAGGCTTCCAACAAACATCAAATGCTTGGAAAGGGTCTCATGTGTATAAGTAAAAATTGTTCTGGGTCTGCGATTTTGGTATTTAAGAACCAGAACAGTACAAGGGTTCATAAAACAATCAGTTGCTTAATGATCTATCTGCAAACATTCAAATCTGACAATTTGAGATACCACAGAAAACCCAAGAAATTATATTTGCTCACTTTTCTGGGGGGAGGGAACCTAAACATATTGAACACTCTCTAAATAAAACCTAAACTCTAAAATTAAAGCAAGATTTCCAGTCAAACGATATTTTAACAATTTCTTTAAGCATTAAACTTTTTTCAAGGAGTTCCCACTGATTGATATATGTATGTGTAAATATGTACATTAAAATGTATCAATATTGACACATAAATATTGTTTATTATTATATAAATTATAGCATAAAATAATAATTAACATACTAAATTACATATATTTATAAATATATAAAAATTTATATATATAAATTTGTATCTTTAAGTTGAAATGTATTTCAACATTTTTTGGTAAACAATGTTTAATAAACTGTAATACAGGAAGATACTGTATTGAATATAGTATTAGAATGTTTTGGTACTTAATATTTCAAAAAATTGTTTTATTTAATTGAGACCAACTGGCCTCATTGCTTCTTATAAACTTTGCAATATATATTCAATAAAAAGGAATAAAAATGAACAGATGTTTCTCCTTAAAGAAGGCAGACAAAGATTTCTCTTACACAATAAATCAGCTGCTAGTGGATTTCTAGGACATTGCTTCAGGCTAACTATTTAGGTATAAAACTTAAAAAAAATTAAAAAGAGTTACCTCTGTGTGGATCCAAAATTGGTAGAGAAGATTGAACTGAAGATGAACAGCATATACTGAAGGTGGTACAAAGAGGGCCAGGGGAGAGTAGAATATCTGAAAAATTAAAAATTTTAAAATTTACACATATTAATTCTCAACATAAAATACACTTTTACTAATGGTTCAACATTATGAGCATAAACTTCATGAATACACCTTATTCTTTAGCAAATATACCTTATTCTGTATATTTTATTGCCACATTTGACTTTGCAACATTAATTTTCCACATGGTGATAAAGTTACAGACATGTTGGAACTAAGTCCACCAGACTTTTAGTTCGCATTTAATATTGTCTAATTAAAATAGCATATGTGGTGTGTTATTTCCTTAATCTTGAAAATGTTGGATGTGTTTCCTGGAAGTAAAGAGGTTTTTCTTATACACACAAATACTCACTTTAAGTTAAAAAGAAAAAGAAAGGAACATGTACCTTTATACCTTGACAGTTCCCAAAAACTGTTATTATGACCTGGCATGCTTTGTAATAAAATGAAATTATAATTTAAAAAAGTAACTTCATATAAGAATATAACAAGAATATAAAATATATTTTTTAAATATATTTACGTGGTTGATTGAGAGCACGATATGTCCTAATTTTTTCAAAGTTAGTAAGGAAGAAGCTATGATATGATGCCATAGTGGAAACAAAAATTTTAAAGGTCTGTATTTCCTAACAGACGGAAAGGCCTCTGCCTTGGAAAAACAACTTATGCTTAAACCGCAGAACTGGTTAGAATCAACTAATAAGCACAATCTGCTGTGTTCTCCTAATGACTTTGATCTCCAAGAGTGATTTCATGTTGTAAGAAAACATTTCATTAAATGAAACACTAAACAAATAGGAATAAAAGGAATCTTTCCTCCACTTTACACTTCGGATTTTATAGAGTTAATATTTCCAAAAGACTAGCTCTTTTAAAAACATTTCTTCTGAATATTAAATTTTATTTCTAAATTATTGTTAAAGCCTTTGTTCTCAGGTCAGTATCATTTCAACGATGTTTAGTTGTGATGATGCATTTGAAATTGGACGTTTACATAAACCCATCTAGTTTTTGTTTCGAACCCTAAGTCATGAAAAATCTCAACTGTCATCACAAGCAGGATCAGTTTTATTATTTATAAATGTATTATTCAGCAATGGATTGCATTAGTAAGCAACAAAAGAATACTGGGCTCTTTTTCAAGACATCCATTTTAAGTCTGGGTTCTACTACAGAATCTCTCCATGATGTTCACAAAGTTCTTAAACTTCTCTAGGCTTTAGTTTTCCCAAATGAATGGTGAAGGAGAAAACCATTTGAAACTTAACCAACCTTTTGGTTCCAAAAGATCTGTGATACTATTTTGAATTTTTTAAAAAATATTTATTTATTTATTTTAGAGAAAGAGAGAGAGAGCAAGCGGCGAGTGGGGGGAGGAGCAGAGGGAGAGAAGCAGACTCCCCACTGGGAGCAGAGCCTGATGCAGGCTAGATCTCATCACCCTGAGATCATGACCTGAGCCGAAATCAAGTCAGCTGATTACCTGACTGAGCCACTGAGGCGCCCCTATTTTGATTTTTTTAAAATATATTCAAATAGCTCTCTTACAACAGGTTAATAAAAAATATTTGAAACATACATATAGCCTATGGTAAAAGTATTTTAAGTTAAAGAGTATTTTGGAATCTTTGAGATGTGAATAAAAATGTAAAACAACTTATCTTGGATGCTTTTATTTGGATAGTTTTATTTGGAAAGAGAGCACATACCAGATGAATATTTATATTTCATTATAACTCCCCAAAGTGTGGAGAAATGGTCCTTTCAGACAGTAACAGCTGTTATGGAAAAGGGGGTTCTATGCTCAACTAAGTTGTGAAGTAGTGACTTAAGTGAAATTTCTTCTGAGAACTTCTCAGAGTCTTCACGATGCTAATGTGAATCACAAGGGTGTTAGCCCACTGAATACTTTCTTAATGTGTTTCCCATAGGATTAGATTTCCTAAAAACAGTTTTGATAAACCAATGTCTCAAATCTTACAAATCAGTAAATATAATTTGCAGAAAACTGGAAAAATGAGCTCAGCGTGAATTTCAAATAAGGAAACTTCTAGTAAGAAATAAAGATAAAGGTCAGGGAATAAGTCACATGAACTACGTGAAAGTTAAATTCTTGTGATTTATATAGTACTATAAAAAATCTAATGATACAACCAAGTTTCTAATTTCTAAAATGGAAAGCAGCTTAGTATGTTCGGGTCTGAAAATCCCCACTCATCTTTTCTACTTCACATCTTCACATTTCCAAATTCTTTGTAGTTTTTAAAACCAACTTAAATGTCAGTTCCATCATAAAGCTGGAAATGGTACTACTTTGGGAGGAGAAATTTCTCCTTCCTCAAAGTTGGGTCAGGGGACATTACACTGCTTACCAAATATATCCATTTCTGCTGTGCATTCAACTCATGTCATTCTGATTCCAAGGCTCTTGAGCTTTAAATTTGACTGTCTTCCCTAGGTTATTTTGTTACCTTTTAATAGAGGTTATACATAACCCATTCACAAAGAAGAAAATAACCCAGACCTGTATGTGTGAAGACAGAATGAGGATAGGTCTAGAGGTGACCTTAGGCTAATGGACAGAAGATGAGTGGATTTTATTCTGCTCAAGTGAATGGAGCAGCCAGGGGTTGTGTGAAGGGGACCATCAACTAGGACATTAAGGAGAAACAAACTGAGGGTTCTAGAGGGGAGGGGAGTGGGGGGATGAGTTAGCCAGGTGATAGGTATTAAAGAGGGCACGTACTGAATGGAGCACTGGGTGTTATATGCAAACAATGAATCATGGAACACGACGTGGATGGAACTGGAGGGTATTATGTTGAGTGAAATAAGTCAAACAGAGAAAGACATGTATCATATGATCGATATGAGGAATTCTTAATTGCAGGAAACAAACTGAGTGTTGTTGGAGTGGGGGGTGGGGTGGGAGGGATGGGGTGACTGGGTGATAGACACTGGGGAGGGTACGTGCTCTGTTAAGCGCTGTGAATTGTGCAGGACTGTTGAATCTCAGATCTGTACCTCTGAGACAAATAATGCAAGATATGTTAAGAAAAAAAAAAAGAAGAAGAAGAAGGTAGCGGGAGGGGAGGAATGAAGCGGGGGAAATCGGAGGGGTGGACGAACCATGAGAGAAGATGGACTCTGAAAAACAAACTGAGGGTTCTAGAGGGGAGGGGGGTGGGAGGATGGGTTGGCCTGGTGGTGGGTGTTGAGGAGGGCATGTTCTGCATGGAGCACTGGGTGTTGTGCACGAACAATGAATCATGGAACACTTCATCTAGAACAAATGATGTAATGTATGGGGATTAACATAAGAATAAAAAAAAAAAAGAAAAAAAAAACTAATGATGTATTGTATGGTGATTAACATAACATAATAAAATAAAAAAAGGGGGGGAATATAAGTACCTCAGACTTGCTGAAAGTGCTAGTGTGCCAAGAGATTGGTTTGGACTGTGGGATTCACAGACAGATCTGAGGGAGACTGTGAATCCCCTCGACATCACTACAACAAAGTATGAGCTTCTTGCTTGGAAGCATATGCAATTTTCTAAAGAAACCATCTATAGCTTTCATCAGAAAGTCTCTGGTGAGTCTATGACTCATCACAGCCAAACAAAAGCAAAAAACAAAAGATAATTTAGACTTTGGTCAAAACCACGAGGGGAGCCTTTTAATGCCATTCTAAGGAGACTAGATTTATCCCAGGCTGTGAGAGAGCAGTTAAATTTTTTTTTAAAGCTTGTAAGAAATATAAAAATAGGTTTGAAATCTATCTCACTAGCCCAGTGAAAAATAGCACCCATTTAAGCACAGCTGTAGTCATGAAGATAAAGGGGCAGAATACATGCAAGGGATCTAAGGCTTTGGTAACTATCTAAACATAGAACATGAGAGGGACAGAGGAGTATCAGAAGACATCCAGATTTGTAGGCTTGTATGTTGGGTGATACTGTTTACTGAGAGAGCAGACAGCAGGAAGAAGAGGTTTATAAGGTTCAACCTAGGGAATGCTTGTTGGAGTCCTTGAGGTATATCCCAAGGAAGCTGTTGAATAAGGAAATATGTTGTACAAATATCAACTGAACTGAAAAATGACACTGAATTTGTAGGTTTGGATGAGTGGAGCAGTAGGCCTGAAATCCAGACCTCACTAAGTTTAAAAATCACTCAAAAGAGGTATTGAGATAGAGGTAGGGATTACTTACTTCTCTTTCTGTAAGAACAAGGAAGGAGAGAGTTGGGGGTTTTCCTTCAATAGAACATATGGATGGGGGAGATTTCATGTTTTTTTTAATGTGAGAGATATGAATATATTTTTGGTATATTCAGAAAGAGCCAGTTAAGAGGAAGAGGGACAGATGTCAAGAGTAGCTGGTCAGACAAAGTCCAAGGCAGGAACTAAGACAGGAGCAATGTCACCAATTTAAGGATAAGACCTGCAGAAAAGAGGTGAACAATTTCTATAAAACTAGAGACAAGAAAGTGTGTGCACTTGTGACTTCACAAATCTTAATGCATATATCTGAAAAGAAAGTTGAGTGAGGGAAAACCAGAAAAACTCACATTCTCTGTGAAGTTTTAAATATGTTCACTGGCTTAAAGCAAGGAGCATGAGAGGAGAAGAGCCCTTGAGACTGCAGAATTCTGGAAGGTCTTCTCCCAGGTTGGGAGGATGGCATGGTGAACAGCACTGACCCCTCAGCTCCGTCTGGAAGCCGTACATGGAGCAGCAACAAGATGCTCACTGGTGCTGCAGGGCACCCATGGAGTTCAGCAAGCTGGGTGTGGGAATGAAGTAGGTGGGTGACCGAATTCAAGCACAGCTTGGGGATTTCAGGGCAGATGCAACAGAAGGAGGCAGACTTTTCTAGAATCAAAGAAATGATGCACTTCAGGTTGGATGAAGTAGGAGATAAAGCGGTGAGGCATGACAAACTGGGAGGAAAAGCAGGGATCGAGAGGGGAGAGACGTCCACAAGTAAGCTACAAAGCAA